CTCGTCCTTTAATTGATAGACGGATATCTCGCGTTTGTCATAGGTGGTGACGTAAGTTCGCAAAAGCCAAATGAGCTTTCTGAATCCGTGCCGAGATTTCGTCAAACACTAACCCATTGGTGCTGATCAGACTTCCAAGATAAGTCTTGACTGAATACTTTTTGATATAATGAGGCCTTAGTTCCATTGTAGTGAGTGACCTACAGAACTACAACTATTCAAGACATACCATCATGCTTAATATTCTCTTAATAATTCGTATATAAGCATGTCCTTTTATCAAATGAAAAAACATAGTCCCTTGCCTTAAGGTCATATAAGTAGGTATTCTGATTGCTGATTTTGTCACATGATAATTGACAGGGGTAAAAGTCATGAAAGAAACGATGACCCATTTGACAGAAAGAAAAAGAAAACTTATTTTAGAACAGAAAAATGGAAATGATTTTAAGCAGTTCTTTCTGTATTATAATAGATGGATTGTAGTTAACAGTGGAATCTAAGATACTAGTTTCTCACGCATAGTTCCCTTTATCGTTTTGAAAAGAACAAGAACAAACATTCTAGCACAATAGCATGAATTCATTTTGATTTCGTTGGTTCTTATCAGCTGCTTACAACCTGTGATATTTAAAATCATAATTACATAATGGGTTTAAATTACTTACATGAAAGAGTTTGATTGGAGGTTATATTGTGAAGACATATTTGTATAGTATAGTAAGGGTTTAAATAGATTGAATAGGCTGAATATTGTAAACGTATACCTTATGTAAAAGAACATTCTACAGTCTTTTACGAATATCGATTAAAAAAAGTATTAATAATATCAAAAGAACTTGAGGGATGCTACTGATGTTACTGAAGTAATCCAATTTATAACATTTAAGATATATGTAATTATGCTTTTAAAAATTTCAATTCACTATAATTCGAATTTCATAGAAATAGAAATATTGAACAATTAGAAAAGATGAATGCCTATTATTATCTTGTTTAATTTATTACTTTGTATTTCATTTAGTATGTATAAATTTAGATGAAACTGATCAATTGCAGTCCTAAACATCAATGGGATAACCCAAACAACCAATACAAAAATGAATTAAAACTTCATTCCATTGCACAAGCTAGTAGCTTTCTGAACTCACTAGTTAAATAAATAATGTGATGGCATTTGGAGCGAATGGCAGTGGGTTCGAGTTCCGGATTGAACATCAACTACTGGGATGTAGGTACATTCAACTGACGAGTCCTAAATTTACATAGTTTTAAATTTCTTGTTAGTTATTCTTTCAGAATGGGTTTTGTGGAGATTTTTAGAAATTTCACTGGTTGAAATCATGAGTCAATTGAAGCTAGACCACCATGGAAAACTCGGAAGCACTGGACGGCCGTTTTTTCATAGTATGGGACTCCTCAGCAGTGCGCATCCACGACCCAGGACCTATCAGTCTCTCACTCGAACGCCTAACCAACTAGGCCACTGAGCCGGCATCCAACGGTGTTAATGTTTAACTTCAACCAATCCACAAAGTCGCGCCACCGTACACCATTGTCTTCAGTGAGTTCCTATCTCACAACAGACCTGGTTGGACTCCACTGGTAACGACTTCTCACTAGATCGCGGGGGCCGGAATCGTGGATGCGAACTGCTGAGGAGTCCCATACTATGACAAAACGGCCGTCCAGTGCTTCCAGGTTTTCCATGGTGGTCTAGCTTCAATTTGCTCATGATTTCAACCAGTTATTCTTTCAACTATTTACTGAAATCAGAAGCTACCAAATACACTTATCATTGCATACATTTATGTATACGTATATATCCCATAATAAATAGAGACTGGGTTTTGATTTCGTAATTAAAACAAAAATAATTCGAAATTCTACTAACATAGCATGAAGAAAAGTATAGATAGATAGATAGATGTTCATGTGGTGTAATTAGTTTAAAGAGGTATAATTGACTATTTCATAGAAATTGTTTATTTTACTTTTTCAATTCTATGCTGATAACAATTACACTTTACAAGTTATAAAGTTCAATCAATCTAACTACTGGACAAAGTATCAGCTGAAAAACAAACTTGATATACACATATATGTATCATAATTTAATTGTGTTTTTTTCTTAGAAGTATTAACTAATCGGAAAACTGATAATAAACACTTCTTAAAACCAGATGGTGGTTGGAGGTAGTCAACAGGAAACCATGGACCCGGGTTTCGTGCTACTTGGCACTCATCAGCAAGGTGTACCTGTAATCTTGAGGGAACTGGTGCTCCCTGACAGATTCGATCTCGTGTCACCCAGCTTCACAGTCAGAGACGTTACCACTGAGCTATCCGAGCCATGACTAACCTCCTGTAGGACTGAGATGTAATCACAATTGATTGATCACTGGGTGGTGATCAATGTCATGCCTGTCTAGTCCTTATTAGTGCAGATCGAATGCTATCGATCATGTTGCAATGTGGCCACCAGTCTAGGTGACTCGACACTGCGGGCACTATGTATTGAGATTAGATGGTGGTTGGAGATCGAATCCGCCAGGGAGCACCAGTTCCCTCAAGATTACAGGTACACCTTGCTGATGAGTGCCAAGTAACACGAAACCCGGGTTCAGGATTTCCTGTTGACTACCTCCAACCACCATCTAATCTCAATACATAGTGCCCGCAGTGTCGAGTCACCTAGAATGGTGGCCACATTGCAACATGATCGATAGCATTCGATCTGCACTAATAAGGACTAGACAAGCATGACATTGATCACCACCCAGTGATCAATCAATTGTGACTTCTTAAAACCATTAAATTTTAACAGGTTTATTTACTTCTGTAGTAAAATAATTTGATTTACATAGACTCTCTGTTCATTGATTCTGGTTGGTGGCCTATGCTCCTCTATGAGAAATAACAGAAGTAAGTAAGTAAGTTTAACGTCATTTTACGCTTGTGCCCTATATTATAGTTTGCCAACATTTCATTGAAAGTTCTTACGAATACATATATTTCAATATAAACATTGATGGTGATGATGATAAGAATCACTGAGTAATGAAAGAAATCTCATTCATAATTATACTTTAATATTCTAAAAAAAAACGGAATTTATACATATTGCAAATTTAACTTCCAGTTACAGTATTCAGTTCGTTAGTTTTCAGATATTCAAACGTTAAACAATGCAATTATACTAATTACAATACACGTTCTGTACAGAATATTGAATGTAGGATAAGTAAAGCTGAATTTCGATGCTTCAAATATATGATGTATATCGAAATTGTGATGAGAAAAGAAAGTCTAAATGATGGATAAGTAGTAATCAGCTTTACAACATTTACAAAATTTGTCCACTGTTTAAGTAGTAGTAGTAGTATATATATGTTTGAAACAAATTAACATAATGGTTTTGGTCTTATTGTATTAAGATAACTTAATAAAAACTAATACCAACTTTGGATGTAAACTATTAGATTACTAAATAAGAACTTTCGTCTAAATTTGGACGAATAGTTTCACAATATTGGGGCGCCAAGTTAATGTGAGACATTAAAGAGGAAGAATGTTGTACTTGTAAAATCTTAGCGAAACAATTTTGAAGTAAATTTACTTCAAAATTCTTTCGCTAAGATTTTACAATGACAACATTCTTCCTCTTTAATGTCTCATATTAGATTACTAGTTAAAAATAATTTCAAAATCTACTTTTGATAAATGTTATAAGTGCGATATAGAAAATGGGAAAAACTGAAATACTTCGATAATACATTAATATAAACACTTTCAATATAATTTGAGTGTTATAATGGTTAAATACATAAATCAATTCATATTAAGAAAAATATTTAGTCAGTGTTTATAAAGACTAACCTGAAATGATAAAGTCGTAGAAATTTCGACAGAAAAATATATATACATATGTAGAACAATACAATTAGCAAAATGAATGAACGTTAACTGCAAGAGATAACAAAGTGTTTGCATAGTAAATATAGATAGCTTTTGGTCATCTATTAAAACAACTGTCAACCAACACCAAGGTCAGGATTTTCAATACAAATGTCAACACAGTTCTACTGTATGGGGCAGAAACCTGGAGAACTACGAAAGCCATCATCCAGAAAATACAGGTGTTTATTAACAGTTGTCTACGCAAAGTACTTCGGATCCGTTGGCCGGACACTATTAGCAACAACGTACTGTGGGAGAGAACAAACCAGATCCCAGTGGAGGAGGGAATTAGGAAGAAGCGCTGGAAGTGGATAGGACACACATTGAGGAAAGCACCCAACTGCGTCACAAGACAAGCCCTCACATGGAATCCTGAAGGCGAAATGAGAAGTGGAAGACCAAAGAACACATTACGCCGAGAAATGGAAATAGACATGAGAAAAATGAACAAGAATTGGATGGAACTAGAAAAGAAGGCCCAGGACAGAGTGGGTTGGAGAATGCTGGTCGGCGGCCTATGCTCCATTGGGAGTAACAGGCGTAAGTAAGTAAGTTTGGTCATCTATTTGCATCTTCCGGTGCGTTCTGCAATGTGAACTGTCTTCTCGTCAGGTCTTCAAGTATTCTGCTTAAACCGTGTTTTTGACGTTGTGATCCTCTTCTTCTCTCCGTCTGATAACTGACAGCTCCAAAGTCGCGTTCCACTACACACTGCTTACAAGTAGTGTTGTGAGTAGCGTACATCATACTTAAATCATGAGTCAATATAGTACTGATATGACATAAGGATAAAAAACAATTTGTTATTGATGATCTTCTACAAGAAGTAGGCGCTACTTATGTTGCTCAGAAGAGCAATGAAAGTTGAACGATTAACCAATACAGCTACAAGAACACAACAGCACTAAAAATGTTAAATTTATGAGTATATCCTCTCCGTTATTTCACTATCAATCTAACAAGTGAAGTACTCACATAAAGCTCACAAAAAAATCAATATTAATTTTGAAAGATTGAAGACAAAATACAAATGCACTTACCAACATAATCAGGAGTTCCTGCAAGCTCTCGATGTTGTTTACCTTCAGTTAATATGGTCGCTAAACCGAAATCTGTGAAAAATACATCAGTAGACGGATAGGGTTGACGCAGTAAAAGATTTTCAGCCTTTAATAAAAAAAATAAGTAGGTAGATGGGTAAAATATTGATTACTTTCTAACATTAAAGTTGATATTTATCAAATATAACAACCCTATAGCACATTAATTATCTAAATAAGACGAATAAAAAGAAATATTTTGTTACAAATGGTTTTTCATCATGGCTCTACGCCAATATATGTGTTTAACAATAATAATGAAATCGATAACGGAAATTCCAACCGTTCTTCGCCTCAACTATGTGCATTTACCAATTCAACTACCCCTAAAATCTGTTACATCGAACCCACAAGTATCCAGGTCCATCGCACTGTCTCGTTAAGTAAGAGACTACTAAAATCAGTTAAAAGTTGCGCACTGGCTCATTCAACTGATACAGAACACCTATTTAGTGTAAACAATGCATTTTAAATCATTCATCTGATCCCAACAAATATGTCGCACGATAAGATGGTGGTTGGAGGTAGTCGATAGGAAAACATTAACTAATGTTTCATGCTATTTGACACTCGTCAGTAAGGTGTACCTGTAATATCAAGGGAACAGGTGCTCCCTGACAGTTTCGACCTTGTGTAGCCCAACTTCACATTCATAGACGTTACCACTGAGCTATCCGAGCCTAGACGTACCTCCTATAAGACTGACATGGATTTGCAATAGGTTGGTCACTGAGTAGCGATCAATGTCATGTGCCAGGTTATTCTTAGTTCCCTTAGGATTACAGGTACACCTTGCTAACAAGTACTGAATAGCATGAAACCTAAGTCCACGGTTTCCTATCGACTTATTTATTTGAACACATAAACATTGGTACAATGGGTCACTAAATACATATGCGCTACACAATAACAATGAGGGCAGTAGCAGTTATCATTGATATGTGTGAGGGCTATGATACTCCCCGAGTGCCCAGATCAAAGCAGGTGGTTTTCTTAGGGGGCCACACCCGGGGCCTTTGACCTAAAGGTCTGATCCACAAGGCAGTGGAGCATCGTAAGGAGATGTAGTCCCATGGTAACCGGTGACCAACAATAGGTTCATACACCATCGGTTTCTACAGGATACTGGAGCCCATGTGCACCAATGGTTTGTAATCAGGGTTTTCCAACTCCCCTATATAGATCCTCCATGTCCACCAACCCGGTTAAGGCGCCGGACATTCGCTTTACGTCCTCTCAATTTTGTAAACAACACCCCCGCCGCGAGAAGGCAGTGAGTAGGACTTCCCTGGCAGTGGCTTTGAACGACTAAGGTTTCAAGTCCCAATCTCACTTTTATCTACTTCAGTTTGGGCAACTGGATAGTAATATCATTTGGCTAGTAAAAAAATAATTTACTTTAAAATCGAGAGCAGAAACCTTGAATTTGATGTGCATATGTAGTGAACGAAAACTTAGTGGAGAAAACCAACTTTTCATTTTATGCGAAATCACACAATACCTTTGGAAAATATGAAAACCATACATTAAATACATCATTCGCATATCTTCCTTCAGTTGTCCCTTACACACTTCATTATTCTTCCGATCCTGTTGTTATTCCAAATTCTCTTCGTTTTCCTTCACCCCCTTTCTTTATTTCATTCTTCTGCTAGTAAGCATTCTACTTCCGATTCCTGCTACATATACTACTTGCCTCTCATAAGTAGCCCACATCATATATATATATATATATATATATATATATATATATATATATATATATATATATATATATATATATATTACACGTGCCAAATACTCAGTTTTGCCTGTGTGTATTACATATAACAGCCTAATTGACATTGACTCTAAATCCTAATTATAAACCCTTAATCCTGAGACCAACCTTAACCAGGTGACATGTTTTATGGACGAACAAAGTAAGTAGATAGCATCTCTTTCATTTTTTTGTGCGAAACTTAGTCATCCATATGACTACAAAGCATTTTTGCATTATGGCTCATGATAAAAATCTCAATCATAAACCTCTAATCCTTACCCTAACCAAGGAAAATGTGAGAACTCTTAGAAATTCATTTCGGTCTTCATAAGAGTTTGACAGGGCGTATTATATATATTCATAGAGATGAACTTATATATCGTTGATTTTTCAGTTCATAGGCAGAATAACTCGTAGAAAACACTAATAGATTCACTAATTACATAAAATCTGTTTACATTTCACAATACTATCATTTTATATAAACTTATAAACTTATTTATGTTTAACCTTTTCTACTACCACTGATACTGTTACTACTACTACTACTACTACTCTGACATTTATCATTATAGCTGCATCTTACTGCGCTGATTCGATATGTCAACTTGGAACAATTCAAGTATATCTCAGGTTATACGTTGCTTATGATTGATTGAGTATATCCACAACCTTAAACAGAATTCAATCTACTTACGTGATGAGCACAATATATTTTTCGACAACTTATCCCATAGTTAAACAATTATACAACTGAAATGCCTAAATATTTTTTTAACGATGGGAGGTCAAACTTTGTAAAGTTTAAAAATGAAAAAAAAAAAATATTTATGGGCAAAATTAACATATTCACAATGACCTAGAATGGAATGTTTATACGTTTTAGTAATATGGAGTGAATAAATTTTCTGTTGTAATGCTGATAAAGATGATGATTATGATCATTATGATAAGTAAAAATGACCGAACAGAATTCATATATTTAACCTAAGTCATGTAATTTGAACATATATTAATAATCATCAATAATATGAAAATAACAGTGTAATTAAAATTGATGATTATAATAGTGATAGTAAACAATGAGATTTAGAGTGAGTACTGGATCGCATTCAGTATAACAAGATCTACTAGATATTCGCCATCGATAATATGAAATTATAGTTTACTGAAAATGTAATACAAAATTATAAGTAAAAAGGGTCTATATATCACCAAAAGGATTTTCAAATAAAAATAACTAAACATTATTAATTTGGCCTTGGCTATCCTCTTTAATTAACAATTTTTATGTTGACTAATTTTTGTATGAAAATAAGTTTTAAATGGTGGACCGAAGAATTGTATTTTTGACGAAACTTTTTGTAAAGATTATTTAAATTTGTAGGTGGCTTTTATTACGGATTCATACAAATTTGGGTATACTGAAGACCAAGAAGCACAGAATGGGTTGTTTGTTTTAGTATCGAACTTATTACTTCTGACCACCCACAACTTTTTGCAGAGCACGGATCAAGAACCGCCCCGTCTTAAAGTAGATGCTTAGCCAGTAGACTACTGAGTCGGAATCCAATATTCTTCATTTTAATTTTCGACTGATTTGTGATAAAACTCGAAATCGTCCAACTCCACTCGTGATAATTATTTAGTTAAAGCAAGATTATACACATCTTGACAATGTGAAGTGCATCCTAGTTTTATTGAAGCCAAAAGCATTTAAAATTAACAGAAACTGTGTTTCGACGTTTTTCCAAACCTACCTTAACATCTAGGTGAACCATCCTAAGAGTATCATGCATGTAGACCAAAGCTTCAAGGATGCTGATTAGTAGTTGACGAATATATGATTCAGGCAATCCATCAAATGAACCAGGGTGTTTCGACTGTGGGATTGTTGTGTGTGAATTAGAAACACCAGAATTAGGAACGGATAAATCACCGCAAGGAGAACTGGTTGAACTAGCAGCAAAGTCATATGGGTAAGCAGATCTACACAAGTCGTATAAAGATCCACCACTAGCACTTCAAAAGAAAATGAATAATCATTGGTACAAACACGGGAAAAACGTAATATTTAGATGTAAATTAGGAAATAGAACAAATTCCCATTAGTGTTATTTAAAACTTAGATAGTGGTCAACTGATTAGCTGAACTAACCTATACTGATAGGTGGCAGTCATAAATCTATATTTATACATTTAATCAGCTACAAATATAGAACTGGAAAATAAATTTTAATCGCGCAAACTTTATACCGAATTCATAAGCAATTTGAATTACAATGGACAAATCAGATTTTCATTATATGACCTGTAATTTGTATGTCCATACAATTTACAAACTGAATTATTGTCAATAGTCTGTTCGTTGCGAGCCGTTAAAATAAACGGGAAAACTTAATTAAATCGATCGGATGCAATTTCTGTCTTGGCCAAGTTTGGTTTAAATTATGGTCAATGTAGAACCTAGAACAAAAATGAGACAGTTTTGTATGCCACCTCATGAAATACAGTAGATAAATAATTATCTTCCTCCGAGAGAAAACATTTTACATCTTCACATTATATATTTGATAACTATGGCGGAAATTATTTGCTGCCTCAAGGATCCTATCTCAATGACCAATGCTGAAATTTACAAAGTTATGACACGCTGTATCGTTCAATTATTATTATCAGGAATCTACAGATATTAAAACGTTTTAAAAATTTAAAGCTATATGTTTTAACGTAAACAAATTCGGAAGGCTTGAAGAATCCCACCAGCATAAGTGCTGGTGGTGGCGTGAGTGATGAAATCAACGCATGTATAGTGAAAGCCAGAGCAGCTAATGCCAATCTGGGCCATCTTTGGTGCCTTCGTGATGTTAGTCTGACCGTAAAAGGTCGGATCTACAACGCGTCGGTGAGAGCAGTTTTGCTCTATGCTTGTGAAACCTGGCCTCTCCGAGTTGAGGATGTTAGACAACTCTGTGTTTGATCATTGTTGTCTCCAAAGGATTGCTGACATGCAGTGGCAACACCATGTTAGTAGTAACGCAGAGGTTCGGCATCGCGTGTTCGGACACAGAGACGACAATGCAATCGGTGTCACCATCTTGAAACACCGACTTCGGTGGCTTCGACATGTTCTACGATTGTCGTCCCAGAGAATTCCACGTCATGCATTATTTGCCGACGCTGGGACTGTTTGGAAAAAGCGGAGGTGGTCCGAGAGATGGTGCAACACAATGGCTAAAGACGTTATCAGATATGGCTCAGAATAAGAGACAGTGGCGATCCTGCTGTAACCTTCTTTTACTTTCTTCATTGAAAAATGGTTGTTTCCTCCTTAACCGAAAGATTTCTTCTGATTGTACCTTTCCGTTTCCCCCATTATTATTATTATTATTATTATTACACTACCTTACACTGATCTGTTTGTTATTGTTTCTTTTTTTACGCTCCTTACCTTATTTTTTTCTCATTGATTTGTGTGGCGCATATATATTTGGTGCCCTCTTGTACCAATATTTATGTGTTCAAATAAATAAATAATAAAAATAAACAAGCTCGGATAAAGAAGGAGGGTTGGGCATGGGTTAGCAACCCAACCTCATAGAAAAAACCTTGCCAGAAAAAACGCTAACCGGAATAAACAATTTAAAACATTTAAACTCCATCCCCCGAGTTAAATTATTTTGGTTCAGAAGAATTATGACGCCTTTTATGGAGAAAATCGCGATTTCTTGGAAATCACAAAGCCGATTTTCTTTTTGACAACTACAGCAACAATTAATATAGATACATGGGAAGTCCTGGATAATGTGGGATACCAGGAGGACCTATCAAATAGCTACGGAAATGAGGATATACAACATGGTGGTGCTCAGAGTAAGCGAAACACATTGGACCATAGCTGAACAGAAAATATTAGATTCGGAAGATGCTGTTGTACTCTGATCACGAAGAAAACGCTTATCTCATGCAAGGAGCTACACTAATATTGTTTAAGAAACACGACAAACACTTTCGGATGAGAATCTCAAATGCCCTGGTAAGGCCGAGGGTGGGGTGAGTCCACTCTCCATCTCCAGATGCTCTCATATGGCCACGCGTATACAGCCACTGTCAGGGAAGTCCTACTCACTGCCTTCTCGCAGAGAGGGGGTAATGTTTACGAATTTGAGATGTTTAGAAGCGAATGTTCGGTGCTTTAACCGGGTTGTTGAATATGGAGGATCCACCCAGAGGAGTTAGGAAACCCTGATTCCAAATCAATGGTGAACATGATCTCCAGGATCCTGAGGGAACAAAAGTTGTATGAACCTATTGGTGGTCACCGGCTACCATGGGACAGAGAGTGTATACACCGACGCCATTGTGATCGATCCTGAGCCATGTCACACACAGTCTACAATCAGTGGTTACGATAGTCACGCGGACACCAACCAAGTAGTCTGCATCTACCAACATGACTCACACCAGAAGTTTGTGACTTTATGCACTGATGCCAAGTTTTGGTTTGTCCGCCCCTAACCTTCTCCCAACCATCCCCAACACCAGTTAGCATTGCATGTCGTGGTAATCGGTGTTCAGGCATACGTAACACGTGGCCCAACCATCTCAGTCGATAAAGATTCACAACCTCATCAACTGATTTACCATCATTCAATAATACTCTACGTCTCATCTCACTATTACTTACCCGGTCATACCAACAGACAAAAGCAATATTTCTAAGGCATCTGTCATCAAATACTAGTATCTTACAGGTATCTTCTACTCTTAATAGCCACATTTCGCAGCCGTAAATTAGAACAGAACAAACTACGGCGCAATATACTCGTCCTTTAATTGATAGACGGATATCTCGCGTTTGCCATAGGTGGTGACGTAAGTTCGCAAAGTCAAACGAGCTTTCTGAATCCGTGCCGAGTTTTCGCCACACACTAACCCATTAGTGCTAATCAGAGTTCCAAGATAAGTAAAGTTGTTGACGCGTTCGACTACTTCACTCCCTATTCAAAACTCATGGATCCAGTATCATCAAAGCATCTTTCAAAACAAAGAAGGAGAGGATCATAATAAATATTATCCAGTGCTATGCACCCTCCAATGATAGCAACAAAGATAATAAAGACCAGTTTTATGAGAAACTGCAACTAAGAGTAGGGAAGTGCTCGGGAAGGAACTTGACTACTCTATTAAGAGACCTAGACTCCAAAGTCAGAATGGTACAACACTGGGTATGAAAATATCATGGGACGACATGTACTGGAGAAAGAAATGAGGATGATTACAGATTTGCAAATTTATCTGCATTTAACAAAATGGTTATAGGCGGTACAACATTCCCACACAAACGCAATTAAAAACCTACATGGGTCTCACCAGATCACACTATACAGAACCAGATAGGTCATAGTTGCATCACTAAAACATTCAGAAAGTCACAATCCTCAATACGAACGTCAAGATAGTTTCACTGTACGGAGATGAAACTTGGAGAACTTCTACAACCATCGTCAAAAAGGTACAAGTATTTATAATCAGTTGTCTACGCAAGATACTCAGTGTCCGTTGGCCGGATACCATTAGCAACAGCCTACTGTGGGAGGGAAAAAACCAGCTTCCAGCTGAAGAGGAAATTAGGAAGAGACGATGGAGACGGATAGGACATACATTACGGAAATTATCAAACTGTATCATGGGCAAGCCCCGACTTCGAATAATGAGTGGAAACGGGAAAAGTGAGAGACAAAAGAACATAATGAATCGGGAATCGGAAGCGGACATGAAAAGGATCTCCCAGGACAAGGTTGGATGGAGAATGCTGGTAGTGGACGGACTATGCTCCTCCATGAGGGATAACAGACATAAATAAGCAACTTCACTTCGAAATTGTATCTGTAGGGTCTTTTTCAATCATATGAATTGTTTTATTTCTTACTTATGAGCTCTATAATATATCTACAAAATCAACTCCGAACTAATTAACGTGGGACACCAAGGCGATAATATATTTTGAATAATTTAGAAACATGCTATCTTCGATTCCATAGTATTCTAGGTGGCAAATCACTCGTAACTATTTTGACAAAGTCTGTTCCGGAGAAATATTGATAACGTTCCTCATGAAAGGCGAAATACGATATCACATTAAGAGTGACTAAAACTGAAAAGGAAAATGAAACGTCTGAGTAGAGCTTTATTTCACAGTAGTGTTGATTTAGTATTTCCGTTTCGAGAGCAAGAAGTCATAAATATTTTTATTTAAAGGCCTCAAGACTTGCAATATGTCAGGAGAATCCTACTATTTTTTAACCTGGTTTCAGCATAAGTAACTTGATAGGTAGTGAACATAAAAATTTACAGAATACCAATACATACATTAAAATTAAGACACTCATAATGAGATTTCAATGTTGCATAAATTTACGTTGTGATACTTTCAATGCCAATGAGCTATAATACCATCCAAGTTAGATTTATGTTTCTTAGAAAGCTAATTCGGAAAAATGATTCAATACATGTTCATGCAGGTAGGAAGTTGGCAAGTTCATACGAAACACATCTGTACTAGAATCTTAAGTGGTAATTTATAAAACCAAATGCAATAATATTGAAAATGTTGATAAATATTTAATCAGATTGTAAAAAGCTTTGATATGAATTATATTCAAACTTTCAGCACAATAACTGGTCTATCAATCGATACATTTAATTACGCCAAAAAAACTTACTACTCCATGATAATAGCAACTTCCATCGAGTCTTTATAAACTGCAAACAGCTTAGGTGAGGCTGATTTAGGAGGAACTTGATGGTTACAAATTCTGGAAGGTTTTTCAGATGGCTTATTATACACAGAGTTATGATAAGTATTAAGATGATCTCTTTGCAAACTGACCATAGCTTGAACTTCAGAGGTAATTTTTGCAATAGTATCCTTTCCTCCACGAATCTACGGATGACTTTGCAAGCTAAATATTCTCCGGGCTCAGTATAAGCACTTTCTGAATACATTGTTGCTGTGAGCTGGGACTTCGTCACTATCAAAGGATCCAGTAGCTCTATGTTACCAGCAGTAATTTTGTAAACTTTCCCGGCATAACCACTATACAAACTGTTAATCCAAAGTAAACATACCGTCCAATAGGGTCACCTTCAACTTTGTATAAGTTTTTCCAAGAATGGTGAGGTTTACTAAATCTTAAACAGGAATCACGTCGTGACGACATAGTAATAAACTAATTCATCACACAAAATACCGTGATCGTAAAAACCAGGTCAGATAAACATGCGAAGCTGAAAATTAATAGATAATGCAGTGGATGAAGACAATCTTGCAACTAAATACAAGTATTTAATTTAAAAAACATTCAACTAGGAACGTGCAAACGTTTATCAGCCTCAGTAGTTTATCAATCCTCAAAGTACAATATTCTGATATGTGAAGAAAGTTTCAATTGTCATCATCCCTTGAATAACTTAAATACTTTTTGACGCAGGACATTCGTGCTTAGCCGAGCTAATCTAGTTTCGAGGTTTTTTCATACAATTTCCACTGACTGAGAAGCCATCGGAACCCTCATAAGTCCAATGCCTACCACAAACATTTCTTCGAATGCAAGGAGAAACGACTAATTCTTAAATGGTTCGATGGAAAACCCCGAAATCGGGAGATGGTAGAAATCGGGTAATATCGTATTAGTAGAGCTAAGTCGAAAATACGTAAAAACTGAATAAAACATGCCAACAACTCAGGTACCTCAGTAACACATTCAAAAATACTACCCAAAACTTATACAATTAGGATGCTAGGAACATCTACACAACTAATACCTCAACGGCAGCCAAAACATACCAAGTGGCCTTGATCGTAATTGAGCGCTGGAACTCAGTGGTGATATATATTGAACAGCGTAAACAAATTTCAGTCAGCAACAACGAAAACAGTGGGTTTTCCGGTTTGCGTCTTTTTGGATCCTTCTTGAAATTATTCTCCGTTTGAGAAAGAGAGTCGACTGACGATATCTGGACGAACTTGTTGGAACTGTCTGTTGGGTAATGGAAATTTCACAATGGCACTGACTGCTGTTTGAACTTGCTGCGATAGCACTGTGTGCAGGTTTTGCCAAAAATTTTGCACCAGCATCAATTTTTGGCCAAACAAAATGTGCCGTGATAAGTTTTGCTGTAGCTCTGATCACTGGTTGTTATAATTCATGGAGCTGTTGACATGCTCTTCGCCGACAAGCTTTAGGAACAATAAGGCAGCTGTTACCCGTTAAAACGTCACACATGATGGAAAAATCCAATAAGGGAGTCTATACTTGTTTGAGAATCAGGTTAGAGTTATATTTCCATGTTTTTGAATATGTGTCGTCTACTTGTGACTTGTCCATGGTTTCCAGATTGATATCTTGTTTTTGTACCAGAGTGTTCATGTCCTTTAGAGATAAACTGTCTGTCGCAGCATAAAGGTGACTTTTTTTAACTGAGTGTCCTTTGCAAATAGTGATATTTGATGTAATAGTCGCGCTCCATGTAGTGATTGATGATCATATGATTTACTAAAGAAATAACATAAGGGTTTTTTTCAGTCGTTATCACTAACGTACCTGTAATAAGAAAATAAAAATTTTTACCGCCCGATAAATCTGTGGTAATTTGCCCCAAAAGGTGCTATAGTGTGTTTGGGCTAGTGACATGCGTTTAGAGAAAACGCTAGAGGTGCAGTGATGTAGCTGGCTCGTTGCTGTGACTCAGACATTATGGAGTTCTGTGAAACAACAGTGCATAAAAAATAGATTGGTTATAGGGTCTCCTTTTAGACAAACCAATATAGTAGCAGTTTCCGTAGTGGACGTGGTGTTACTTAAAGCCTCTTCTTCATCGGGTTGTAAGCTATAGTCGCTCTTCATCTGTATTTTTCTTCGGTTAAGCTCAGATCAGCCAGAGACTATATTGCTGTTGCGTAATTAGGCAAAAATCGGCGATAGAAATTATAGATCTTCAGGAATCTTTCCAACGGTCTTGTTAGACTTGGTTCTGGATAGTTAATAAATGTTGTGAAGATCCAGAAAATTCGTCGAAAAAGCCGAAAAGGCTCTAGAACGCTGAGAAACATTTTATCCAACCACTATTCAATAGAGTTTTTGCTAGAAACGTCCAGAAAGTGAAGAGTCATATGTCACATGTCTGGTTAGATGATTACCTACCATGCTATCATGTTTAGTACGGTTTATGAACCTTCCAGAAGCCCACTTTCATCTGATATGCTATAAATACGCTCGATTTTCTGCACATAAACTAACCTTGGAGAAAGCGTTCTTTGTATATCACGCGCCTTTTCTCTAAGTCACTGTGTGCAGCCTGCGTATTACTAAAAGGGCTTAGGAGGCGAATCTAGTGTTTAGTTAAAAAAATATCGACATTTCCTTGGGGAGACTCTATACCGTGTGAACCTATGTGATGACCCAGGAAGTTAAAAGCTGGAACCTCGAGTACACACTTTGAAGGATTAACCACAACCCCATAGCTGCTAAAGCGATTGAACGGAATGCGTGGATGCTGTGTATGTTCCTTGGAATTATGATCTATTTCGTTATTGCTTACGCCTGTTACGCCTCATAGAGGATCATATGTCACCCATGCAGCACTCTTCATCCAACTCTTCCTTGGGCTGTTTGCAGTTCCTATTCATCCTCTTTATGTCCGCTTCCCATTTTCGACGCGGCGTGTTCTTTGGTCTTCCTGCTTTAAATCCTCTTTGTTCATCGGTGGTACTAGCAACGTAAGTTTCCACCCCTTCCATCAAATGTGATTAGTTTAAGGTTCTCCGCGTTGTATTCGAATATGTTGGTTTTGCCCTTGTGTATGTTGAGGCCTACTGATGCAGAGGCTCCTGGTACACTAGTGGTCTTCATCTGCATTTGTTCGTGTGTATGGGCAAGAAGGGCTAGGTCATCTACAAAGTCCGAATTATCCTGTTGCATGCAAGTTGTCTATTGTATTCCGTGCTTACCCTCAGATATGTAAGTCTTTATAATCTAAGCAACCACCAAAAGAAAAAGGAAGCGGGAGTAGACAGCCTTGTGTGACTCCGGTCCTTACTTGAAATGCATTTGTCAAATGTCCTCCATGCACCACTTTGCATTGTAGTCCGTAGTATGAATTCTGGATGATCTTGACGATCTCCCCAAATACGCACTCCATAATGTCGACGAAGTTTCCATAAAGTCCACCTATCCACATTATCGAATACTTTCTCATAGTCAATGAAGTTGATTTATAGTGACTAGTTCCACTCAACTGATTGTTTAACGATGTTCCGTAGCGTCGCAATTCCTTACGGAATCTGACCTGTTGATTTCGAAGTTGAACATCTACTGGATCTTTCATCGGGTTCAGAAACGCTGTTGAAAACTTTTCCTGATACCGATAGTAGTGTGATTTCCCCGTAGTTCTCACATTCGCTCACATCTCCTTTCTTTGGTACCTTGATGAGGTGTCCGTCTTTCCACTTTGTCGACACTTGTTGGTGAATAACACAACCAGGTAGACCAAAATCCGAGGACGGATTTTGAATATAGATATTTCATGAATTTTAACAGGCAGCTAAGGAGACGAAACAAGCAGGAAGAGAGAAGTAGATTGGAGAAGACAATTCGGCCAACTTGATTTAATCAAACGTTAATCGATATATATCCCAAAAAAATAGATTACAGGCATTTGATGAGTAAGATCATTTATGCACACACATTCGCTTGCATAAAAAAGTCAAGGTTGGCAAGCGGACAATTAATAAGTTCAAGATGTAGCTTGAGGAGAAGGGATAGGCCAGTTTATCCAGAAGCTAGAATAAGCTATGTGGGCTCGACATAAGACCAGCCACCACAAAGTACCCCTCTCCCAGGTCTGTCGGTGGCACTTGTTCTTCTTTTTAAATCTTTTTGAATAGAACAAGAGGTATGCTTGCAGTTGCTTCTGTGTCCGACTTCAGAGCTGAGCCTGGTATATTGTAAGGTCCTGATGGTTTCTCACTCTTGATTTTTCTGATGACCATGCCAATTTCTTCGATCGTTTGTGGAGTGACATCTGTAGGAAGATCCATGTGTGCTACTTCGATATCCGGTGGATCCGGTGGAACTGGTCTATTCAAGAGTTCCTCGAAGTATTCTTCCCATCTGTTCCTCTGTCACCGAATTTCGGTGATTGATTTGTCCTTGACTGGTCTCTCTGGTTCACTATATTTCCCTGCTAGTTTCTTCGTTATGTCATACAGTTGCTTGATATTTCCTTCTCTTGAAGCTTTTTCTGCTATCGTTGCTATCTCTCCCATGTATTTCTGCTTATCAGTTCTAATGCTTCTCTTATTTGTTTCTGTGTGTTCAGCTTGTGCCTTGACATTCTCTGTTCTTGTCCGACTGTTGTTAATGGCTGTATTCTTTTATCTTGAATCATGCTTAGGGTTTCAATAGAGAATCATTCCTTATGATGATGTCTCTTGCAGCTCACAACCTCCTGACACGTTGAAGTTAGTGCTTCTTTGATCCCTTTCCAATTGCTTCCATCATAGTTTCTTCTTCTTGAGTAAATGTTGTGAGTCCTGGGACGTGATGTTGAGTCATCTTGAATCGGTTTATTTTTATGTGAAAGCAAGGCTGTGATGAACCTTTGTAATGTTGTTTGTACAGTTGTCCAACGCTTTTTTAGCTTCGGTTTCCTTTTGGCGACCACCCGGTGGTGACCTGGAGCTATACCAGATCCGCTCTTTGTTTCTGCCTTGTCCATTGACTTTCTGAATGTTTTATTGATGCAAATATGATCTATCTGGTTCTGTGTAGTGTGATACGGTGAGACCCATTCAGCCTTGTACTTGCGTTTGTGTGGGAATGTTGTGTCGAAAACCGCCATGTTGTATCTCATCAGTTTCGTCGCTATTTGACTGATCCTCACGGTCTTCCACATTATCTGGATCTTCTATTTACCCGTAAAATTTGTTGCTCTAGTTGTTTGAAGCAACACCGGCTTAGTACCTTCCGAAGCTTCTCGGCTGTCATCATAAGGCGTCATAATCCTTCCTTCAACTCGGAGGGCAGATTTTAAGTGGTTTATGTTGTTTGTTCTGGTTAGCGCCTTAGCTTTTATCCTCAACTTAGCCCAGTGTGCTTAGGAATCATAATCTTTGCTATTCAATAATAATCTGTTGCAGCGTTTCGTGATGCCTTCTAAATTAACACGCAATTAGAATGCACTTAATAACAGTTGTCAGTGTGGCTAAATAATGGGGTAAAGCCAATTCTCTCAAAGTCATGACACCACGGGCCTGATATTAATTACACTGAATACTACTAGCCAGTGACCAATCGACTGTAAATATATTTCAGTCCTATAGCAGGTCAGTCGCAGCCCGTATAAGTCAGTGCAAACGTTTCCGACAATGAAGCTGAGTGACACGAGGTTGAACCCGTCAGGGAGCAAGAGGTCCCTCAAGATTACAGGTACACCTCCCTGATTAGTTGCAAATACCACGGTTATCTGTCGACTACCTCCAACCCTCATCCCTATTAATTTGAAATGTATTGTTCAAGATATTAGTTTGCAGTGGGTTAGAGATTAGTTGAACTGACTAGCTATAATGTTTATACTTTACGTCCCTGATTCTAACGCTCAATATATTATTACAAGCAATCGCATTATGACAAGACTTAGCAGTCGAATATATTTCCTTTCAATTAGTTAAGCGTCCGTGACAGAGTTATTGATTAGGAACACGTAGTTCAGCGAAGGGGGCTCTTTTCAGCGAATCCACCATCTCAATTTATTATCAAGTTGTACAATCGTAAACTTTTCATGATAAAGTACTAGTTCGATGAGAAAATATGAACAAGGGATAACCATGATGATGCAATAGAAATATTTTGACAATAAATCACGCAATACGAGTAATAAAATAGACCTAATAAGTAAGTAACGAATTATAATGCGAATTAAAGGTAATTACATGTGATAAAGGGGAAAAAATAAATGAAATGAAATCATAAATAATCATGAATAGAATCGTGGGAATTTGAGACATAGGTAACAGGAGAAATGAAACAAGAAATTCGATGATGGTAGTTTAAACGGAGGAGCTAGAGATGTCCGATTTTCTAAAACAAAATAAGTGAGACGAGACCCAAGTATCTAGTCGAACTGCTTACACTTTAGTACATTATATGCCAAAGTTTTGGGGATGTCAAGATCTATTGAGTGGAAGAGAATGCTAGATATATTCATTGGCTTAGTTGGATGAAAATCTTGATAAACAACACAAGTCCGTAAACCTCTGGGATATATATATATATATTAGCAAAATAAGTGCTTTTGTCTTCTGGAATAAAAATATATATATGGGCATATCAAAAAGTTTGTTTTCGTTTGTTTCTTTCTCACACAATAATATCAAGAAAATTGAGATGAAACAAGGTGTTATGTAGTGTCTTACGTGCAGTAGTCCTTCAAGTGTTCTGAAAACCTCATTCTTCTCCTGGAACGTGCTATTTTAAGTCGGTTGTTAGATACCACTGAAGTGTCATCCTGACTTTTATTTATCGGGTGAGGTATCATGATTGTGAGACTCGCGTCATTCGATTGTACCTAAGAAGGATCGACACGATTAGGATCCCATTTTAAATATGAGGCTTTGAGATAATCGATGCTGATGGTATCGTTAGTCCCGTTCAACTCAATAACATAGTATTTAAGTTCGCGCTAAAGAACCATGAAGAGTCCTTCATATGCTCTTTTGATAGGTTGTCGAAATGAGTTACGACCTACAGAACGAGTGTGTGTGTTGAACATAGCAAGCTGCTAGAAGAGTGTTTACAAACGACAAAACCGTTGGGTTTAATCCTCTGACTGATCATGTCTTATGGTTATCACTCTCCCACTAGAAGGTGAGTGATCTGTAGCGGTAAATAAATCCCTAAAATAAATAGGTCCGTAAATCCTCCACATCTTTTGCTGAACGCATCAGTTTTAATAGGTTCATCTAACTGAGGACGCTCGGTCAAACATCTGCACCAGATCACCAGTGTGGACGTGATGCTACGTATCATTTTCAACTATCAGCTAGCCTAGACCAAACGTTCCTCAGCATACCAACAGTCTTAACATACATCTTCGAACTCCTTCATTTCTGACTCCTGATTTGATTGGGTTGGCATATTTCGATTTTAAAGGTGTTGCTGGTTAGGGCTTTGTCAAACTCCGAACACCTGTGGCATCTTTCAACGACGCGCGCGTTTCAAAAAAGGCAGTGATTTTGTACTTGTCGTTATCCACGCTTTTGTGTACTTATTGCATCAAAGAAGCATTCTTGGTCTACTTAAACTCGAAGTATTTTGTTTAAGGTTTGAAATTTTGCTCAACCTTGTTCTGTGTTAACTTCTTTCTCATTGACTCTGACACTTGTGTTCATATTGTGATCGTATTGTATTTTAAGCCTTCTTAATCTGATTACAATGGTTGGCGGTACTTATACATGTGGGCAGCCAAACGGTTCATACTCCGTGGAGGAAGAAATGCAGTGCAAGTGTAAAAAGTTGTTCTATAAGATGTGTACCCATTTAAGTCCCACCACGTATAAAAGATGCTCGAAGCCTAACTCGCATTGGCTTTGCATATTTCGCTTTGTAAATAAGACGTTGCTAATCCTGAAGACTGTGAGCCTGTTGGCATTGGCATTTACGAAGAGATGGTTGTCGCACGGGTAACACGAGTACTGACAGTAAAGAATGTGTCAGTGTAGTACGTACTGTTACGAGGCGCGTTAAACAATCGACTGTGATTGACAGAAAGGTGAAATATCCGCTAAAACTAATGAGGAGTGAAGCACCACTTGATGTTGACATGGGTAGTCATGCATCTGTGGGGCTAGTGAAATGTCACTAAGCCCTAGCCAAATAATCCGCATTTGGGTCACTGGATATCGAAACGATCATTGATCCCCGTCAAGGTGGAGGACGACCAACACGTATCAGTTATTCGTACGCCAAGGACTGACCCATGCGATGGTGTTATTTTCGCCTGTGTTACTTTGAATAATATGTTACTGTAATAACGTCTTTTGCGTTGTGCAATCTTCAAAGCGCTGATAGTGCTTCGGTACGTCGATGAGGCAATCCACACAAAGTGCTGATCACGAGGTGTGACTTCGACGTCTGGTGGTTCGTCACATCACTCCCGGATCACGTTGGCAGGCCCTCAATCATTCAACATAGATCATCTACGCTGGTGATCTACACATCTCCAGTGCAAGTTGAAGACCCAGATAAAGCCGTCACCGTTCCAAATAGTCCCGGGGTGGCTGTCCTGAGTGATGAAAAATGGACGGCAGTACGAGAAGAACTCCACCCTGGCGTGAATGAGAAGAATTTAATCTCATCGAATATTATTGTGAGTAACTTGCCGGTGTCAAACGACTCTGATCCCCAAATTGGACGCGCGCATGATCCGTAGCACTTTGCCAGATAACTCTGAAGGAGTTCAGGTTAAAAAATTGGTTAGGATACTTAAACGGAGAAGCACTCGTATTTGCGACAATACCGAGTAAGACGTGACATATCCCTTGAAGAAACAATAAAAATGAATACGACACTGTCTGAACTAGAAACCCATCGACAAAACACTGAGGAAAATCTCTGATTAGTGAGTTTTGGAATATTCGGGTCTTGGAAGTGTATTCTACCAAGGCCTGTGTAAAATCCAAACTAAGGTTTGGACTGCTGAATAGCCTTCCAGGTACGTTAGACACGCGCCCCTTCCCGTCGAAATCAAAACAAGTAGTCGGGTAAATAGCGGTTCTATAATTCATCATAAATTTATATGTAAATCGTTACCTAAACAAATATTACCACCCGGCTATTCAACCAATAATTGTTCAATCAATGAAATCTAAATTACAATAAATAAAGAAGTTGATAAAAGATGAAGGAAAATTACCAATCACAACAAATGAACGTTATTCTATCCTGACTGGATAGAACACACACAAAAGGAGGAGCAAATCAATATGGCTACCGCCAAGAACAAGTGTCAAGTAAAACAACACAGATGCAGTTCGGGAAGAAACACAAACTTAGTGAATGCGTAAGAAAAACAAAAACTATAATAAAAATACAAGTATTGACAATTCAAATGTAATCAAAAGACAACAGTGTACAACTAAGGGGATCAATAGGAACAAAGCACAAGTATATAAATGGAGGGATTTTCACCAACACACAAAACATTCAAAATGGATCTTACAGCCTGAGTGAATAGGTTTTATCCCTAGGAGCTTTATATGCAAATGCTCGTAATCTAAGAAATAAATTCTATGAACCAGTAATGCTTAATTCATCTCGATGTTTGGGACCTGATGGTATTCCAAACATCCTTTTTAAAAAATGTGCTGACGTTCTGTGTCATCCGTTCACAACTATATTTAACAGATCCTTCTCATCTAATCTCATACCGAAAATGTGGAGAAAGATGAAGATAATTCCTGTACCCAAGAAAGCATTTGGTGATAAGAATGTAAAATTCAGACCTATTGCAATAACTTCACCTTTCCTCAAAACCATGGAAAAATTATTAATACTTCCACTTCAGCCTGCGATAAAAGAGCATACTGACCCATACCAGTTTGCATACAGGCGCAAAAGAAGCACTTTAGATGCTGTTGCAGTTCTGCATCACAACATATTGTTCAACTTAGAAAAGGGTAAGAAGTATGCTCGGTGTGCTTTTCTGGAATATACTTCAGCTTTTGACTCTATACCAAGACAACGTTTACTTAACAAGTTAATCAGCGTCAACACTGACAGCTGGATAATCAACTGGCTATGTTCCTACCTCTCTGGAAGGGAACAGTACACTGTGTCTGGACGAAAGAGTTCAGATTCTTTACTGTCTCAGGAAGGTGTACCACAAGGAGCTGTCCTTTCACTTTTTCTATTCTCTTTTTTTCTGCATGACCTGCCATCTTCCACAGAAAACACTTTTGTGAAATACGCGGATGATCTCACTGTATGTATGCCTATATCTTCCTCTTTACATCCCATAGAAATGAATGAGTTTTTGTCTCGTATTGATTGTTGGTCTGTTGGCAATGGTCTCATACTTAATCCGTCTAAATGTTAAGCTGTTAACTTTAGCATGAGACATGAACGGAATCTAAACACCATTTTGAGATCCCATAATGCTTGTACCATCGGAGAATCTTTGATAAACACAGTGTCGAAGGTCAATTATCTTGGTGTCACCTTTTCCTCTGATCTGTCTTGGTCTTCCCACGTTTTATCGTTATCGAAGAAGGTTTTCCGTCTGACCTATTACATAAAGAGATTGCATGCTCTTGGAATTACTCGTCATTTACTCTTACAATTTGTCAATTCTTGCATATTACCTATTATTCTTTACTGTTCTCCATTACTCTTTGGCGGGCTTTTGAGAAAAGACTTTGCTGTATTTCGGAGAATGCTGAAGGCAGTTAGCAAGGTGTGTGGTGAATCTTTCGAGGTCATAATTAATATGGTTGTGGATAGACATTTAAAATCATGCAAACTCCTGGCAGGTGTTATTTTATCAGATACCAGCCATCCCCTTCACTCTTATCTTTCTCCTTGTATATCTTCTGATAGAACGAGACGTAATTACATTAAAATCCTTGCACGCAAGGAAAAGTATAAAAGTTCTATAAAACCTTACCTAGCAAATATACTCTGTGACGAACAGGTTGTTAGAATTAACCTAGTCAATAACTCACATTCTTAACATGTCTTTAATTTTAAAAGTTTGTAGTTTTTTTTTGGTTTTTTTTATATTTCTTTTTGTATTTGCTACTGCCTTTTTGTTCGTTGTTCAGTAAGTAACTTGTTGAAATACCCTGTGCTGAGAATTCTATATTGTACCAAAATATAATATCGAATAAAGCCATTAATAATAATAACAATAATAATAAAATAATATAAAGACCATTCACTGTGGCTGTGACGGAAACTTGATAAGTCCACAACTTTGACATTACTCCAGAATTATCCGGATACTACTTCCTAAGAAGTGATAGACATAGATGTAGGAAAGGAGGTGGCGTCTTTTTACACATAGCCAGCAATATAAAAATCCGCTTTTATGCTTGTGAGCCCCACGATAGTGGAACATTTGAAGTCATTATCTGTGAGCTCATTATCGGATGTTGTACTTCTATATTCTCTGTCATCTATCGCAGCCAACTCTACTTAGCTGATGACTTTATTTTAGAGCACACTCAGCTATGAAGTGCAAATAACATATGCTTGGCATTAGGAGACTTTAATGCACCTGATATTAGTTGGACTGAGATGACCACGGAAGGATCTATAAACTCGTTTCATAGTAGGTTCCTGATAACAGTAATGGAGCATGCATTAGTACAGCATGTTTCCAAACCCACATGTTTTGGTGCAAACCAAGTGTCTTCTCTCTTGAACTTGGTACTCACTCATGCGACTGAAGATATTGCTAACCTGAATATTTTTTCATCGTTAATGAATGACGATCACGCTGTTCCGTCATTCACGTTTACAGCTAATGATATGATTTACGATAGGGTTAAAACTCGCCAAAATGTATGGAGAGTAAACATGTCAGCCATTCAGGAGTGAGCTGCTAGGACAGATTGGTCAGTAGATACTAGCTCATCAGTTAAAGAAGCATGGTCTATATTTAAAGGTAAGTTTAGTTTAGTTACGTCTCTGATCATACCACACCTGGTACCACGTAAACCGAATACCTGTCCGCCATAGATAACTGAACAAGTCAAGAAACTTCTAAAACGTAGAAAAAAGGTATTGGAATATGTTCATCTCTACCGGCTTAGGACAGTACAGGTTCAGTTATTGTAAGACTAGGAATGCTTGTAAAGCGTTAACAAGTAAGACTCGGCAGTCATGTGAAAAACTATTGGTTAGTGATGCAATTACAGTACGAAACGGTTATTCTAGTATATAAAAAGGCGAACTCAGAGAAGTGATGGAATCCCATCATTTTTGACACAACAAAATCCGTTAATATTGGCAAGAAATGATGACGAACAAGCTGAAGCTCTGTCAAAATATTTGAGTAAGGTGTTTTCTGTCGGTAATAAACGACCAACGATTCACTGTGATTGTGGCGGTTCGTTGATGGACCCTGTAGTCATTGAGAAAGGTACCGTCTTAAGACCACTTTGGCATTTCAAACCTGATAAGTTCGGTGGCCTTTATGATATTCATCCTAGGATTATGGAAGCCCTATCAGATGTAATTACTGAACCTTTAGCAATACTGTTTGATGTGTCTCTGAGGCAGTCTAGACTGCCAAGAAACTGGAAATTCGAGTTAATAGGTCCGGTGTATAAGGCTGGGAGTAGGGACTTAGTTAGCAATTATAGACCCGTCAGCTTAACTAGTGTAGTTGTAAAACCGATGGAAAAACTATTCAGATATCTGTTATAAACTATGTGAAAGAGCATAATCTTTTCTCCAGGGAACAACATGGTTTTCGGAAAGACCTATCATGTTTGACAAATCTCATTGCAAGAGAAGATTGGGCTGCTACAGAAGATCGGAATATTCCTGTAGATGTGATCTTCATAGATCTAAGCAAAGCTTTTTATAATGTTACACATCATGGTCTGAAATTGAAACTGGAATGTTTGGGAATCCGTTATACTGTCATAGACTGGATAACCGACTTTCTCCATGACAGGAGACAGAGGATAATGGTAGGAACCTGTAAATAGTAAACTTCCCCAAGTACAATCCTCGGTCGTCTTCTCTTTTTACCTTATGTAAATGAATTACCAACTGTAGAAAAGTCATCCGTCCTACTCTTCTCTGATGACATAGAGATTCGGAGACCAATGCACAGCATGTCAAACAGAATAGTATTACAAGATGATCTCAAATAATTGGTGGCATGGATGGACGGGTGGTCGGTAGAAGTGAGTCCTAACAAGAGTGTGGTGATGCAATTATACAACCATGATGACTCGTATCACTACGCAGTGCGTCTATTCGTGTTACCTAAGGTGACAAACTATAAAGACTTAAGAATCATCATAAGCAGCGATCTAAAAAATACGAGTAACTCTGAGGTCTTTTCAGTTTTTGAACGAAGTAATGTTCAAATTATTATACACAACTTTCGTGAAACCACATTTGGAATATGGGATTCAAGCAGCGAGCCCCTGTTCCAATCATGAGACGGATATACTGGAACAAGTTCAACGACAAGGGACTGAAACGGTAAAAGGTCTAGCTGGTTTATCTTTTGAAGACAGTGACACAGCTAAACTTATGTCCGTTACCTTACCGTAGAATGTGGGGTTATCTAATATTGGTTTATCATAACCTTGGTATAAATGTGTCTTATTATTTCCTCCCGTCTAGGACTGATCACCTGAGAGGACATTCGAAAAAGTTAAAAAACCGAGTTCAAATCGTCTAGATCTGCAGTTTCGTTCCTCGTGCCGAGTAGTGAATTATTGGAAAAAGCATCAAGACTGGGAATAATCAGATTTATAACTTTCTGAAACACTGCAGTGGAGACATTTAGCCAGAGCAAACGGAATTTGTATCTGAGCAGCTCGAATGGTGTATAGTAGAAGTTAGTTCAGTAGAGATTTCATCCAATGGAATTTAAAAATACACACCTTTCGGGCAATTCTAGAAAAATACCTTGACCCTCGTAATTTACATAGGATATCTTCAGTTTCTTCAGTGATACAGCTCTGTTGCAATAACCGAGTACATAGTGTTAAGCGCTAATCACAAATTTAAGGTGTTTCTCCATCCGCCCTTAATGGAGTCACAATGGGAGTAGCCCATTTAGACTATCGTCCATCTTCCAACCAGTTTATGTTGCTCGTTCTTCACAGCCTTTCTTAAACCATATGAAGTTAGTCTACACTTCAAGAAAACGCGTCCTCTCGTTTGGTTCAAGTTTCAGATTTCAGATTTGTGTAGTAAGGAGAGAAGGCCTACGGCCTATGTTATTCCTTTTCTAGTATGCTTCTGTGAGTGTCCAGTCTTCTCTTGAAAGAGTCAATTGAAGGTGCGGACACCACTGCTTCAGGCAGCAGGTTCCAAGTATTGATGACTCGGTGTGAAAACCTGTATGCCACGGGTATTTTGTTCGTTCTTGGCTTTTCTACTCGCCTGCTATGTCCTCTGAGGTGTCCCGATCTAGTGGGAAGAAAGAGAGAGAATAAGTTAGGTCCGAAATCATTTCTCAGTATTCTGTACATCAATATTAGATCTCCCCTTAGTCTGCGATAGGACAGAGTAAAGAGGTTCAGTTTTTCAAGCCGCTCTTTATATGATAAACCTCGGAGTTCCGGAATTGCACGCGTAGCTGCCCTCTGTACCTTTTCTATTATGTCCGAGTCACCTTTAAACAGGGGCTTGCAGCCTGAACACAGTTCTCTAACTTAGTTCTCACTAAGGATGTGTATAATGTGGTGAACATGGTAGTGTCAAGCTTAGTGAATGTCCTTTTTAAAGCCCAGAGGGTTCGAAACCCCTTAACTGCGACCTCCCGGCAATGGGCCGTCGTCTTAAGATCATTGCTCACTGTCACCCCTAGGTCCTTATGAGACCGGACTACGGGTAATGACACATCCCCTATGTTGTACGTATTAACCTTTGAATCCCCCAAGTGCATGTAGACACACTTTTCCGAGTTGATAGGCATTAGCCACTCTTTAGACCAGTTTATCATATTATTTAAGTCCGCCTGAAGAGTAAATGCGTCTTTGTCTCCAGTTATTACTCGCCAAATTTTTACATCGTCAGCGTATAATAACATTGGAGACTGTACTATACTTGTAAGATCATTAACGTACATTATAAAAAGTAAAGGACCTAAGACGGAACCTTGGGGTACTCCACTAAGTACTGGTCTCCAGATGGAGCACTTGGAATTTATTCTTACTTTTTGCCTACGACCTACTAGGAAATCCTTAATCCATTTTAAAAGAGGTCCGGCAATACCAAGGTTTGCCAACTTCAATAGCAGCCTATTAGTTGGCACCTTGTCAAAAGCCTTACTGAAGTCTATGTAGACAACATCCACTGAGTTTCCGTTGTCTAGCGCATTAATCCAGAGCTCCCTAGCTATAAGGAGGTTCGTTGTACAGGATAGACCCTTTCTAAAACCATGTTGTGCCATGTTCAGCAAGTTATTGGTTTCCATAAATGCTGTTATGGTCCGTTTGATTATTCTTTCCAGTATTTTAATTACAACACTGGTGAGGCTTACGGGTCTGTAATTTGATGGAACTTGTCTTGGTCCTGTTTTATGTATGGGAGTGACGATTGCGTCCTTCCAGTCCATAGGTAACACACCTTGGTCAAGTGACATTTTGAATATCACAGTCAGTGGGGCTGCGATATATTGGGCAATATGTCTCAAGATTTTAGGGTGTAGTTCATCTGGTCCTGTTGACTTCTCCATGTTTAGGGTGCTAAGAGCCTTAAGCACATCGTTTTGGTCGAAGTCCACGGTGAGCAGCTGGTTTGTTGACTCTGTAATTGGGTCTGGTTCTTTCTCTAGAGGAGGTTCCTGAGTGAAAACTGCCCCAAAGTAGTCAGCCATAACCTCAGCTTTTTCCTGATCTTCCTCTATCATTTCAGATTCACTTCCTACTTTAATTAGGTTGGGAATCCAATGATGAATCCTTGTTCTCTAGTTTATGTAGGAGTATATTCTCTTGAGCTGCTTGAGTGCAGATTGTGCCTGCTGCATTTCATATTTTCTTTGCGCTTCCCGAATTTTAGTTATACACTCGTTTCTTATCGATCTGTAGCGTTCCATCGTACCTGCTGTGCCAAGGCGGATGGCAACATCCCAGCATTTCTTCTTTTGTCTTAGTAAGCGTCGAATATCCCGCCCTATCCAGGGATGTCCGTGCTTCTTTTTCTTTGGGACAGTCCAGGGTATGTATGGTTGAGTTACCCGATTGTATAACTGCCTGAATAGAGTCCATGCCTCTTGTACTGATGCCTTTGAGTCGATTTCCCAGTTCTCAGCCGATGCTGTGGAGTTAATTGCCTGCATATCTGCCTTCCATATGTTAGGACGGGCCGGCGCAATTGTTTGACAAGCAATCTCAGCCATGAATTTGAATAAGATGACTGCATGGTCACTTCTCCCAAGTGGTGGGAGAAAAGCCGTTTGACCAACATCATCACCGTGTGTGAAGACTAAATCTAAAAGAGAAGAGTTTCTTAAGTCGTATCTTGTGGGATCTCTAATGTGTTGGAATAATGCTAGTCCAATCGAGGTTTCTAACAGTTTGTAGTCGAACGACGATATGGATGACCCTACTTCTAAGTTAACCCAGTTTATATATGGTGCATTAAAGTCGCCTATTACAAGGCTTTTACCGTTGTAACACCAGGACTTAAGTTTACCAAGGAGAAAATCATCTGCTACACATTCTGGACTGCGATAAACTACAACTACTTCAATATCTTGCCTTCGGCATTTCAACTTACATCTCACCAGTTCACATGTCCCTGAATTTTCATACCTCACAAAATGATGTCGCCCTTATCGGTGAATACTTTTAGGAAGAAGCCAAATCCTTATTGTTAAAAAACTGTAAGAATTAGCACAGGTCCACCGATTTGCTATTCTTATTACTGAAGGCCTCAAATATCCGTATTCGACCAGATTGGCCGCTTGAGGATCGAATCAAGTGGAAGAATGCTCTTACGGAGTTGAGGACTCGCAAATTAAATGGCGAAAATAACCTTACCATTAAGGGTTTTCGGGTAGTCAGGTCTTGGAAGCCAATGCTTCCGAGGCCTGTATGGGTAGAACGATTGATTTCCAAAACACCTTAAGTGTGTGCTACACGAACGCTCGTAGTCTTAGAAATAAAACGTCCGAGCTAAGTCTGATGGTGCAAGAATTATGTCCCGATATAATCGTTGTTACAGAAACTTGGTTCACCGTTGATATAGACTGTTCTCCTTTCATTGCTGGTTATATCTGTATCAGAAGTGATAGAGTTTCAAGTCGCAAGGGGGAGGTATAATATTTTACGTTAGGGATCACTTTCGTATACAATCAACCATATCGGAGGCTCATATCAGTGGCACATGTGAGGTTGCATGTTGTAAGATTAAATCTAGAAATGGGTTAGTGACTATAGGGGGAATATACCGTAGTCCGTCTTGTCTGGCTGACGACTTTATCCTAAGACACATCTGTTCTTGGAGTATGGCAGAATGTTGTCTCATCATTGGGGACTTCAACGCACCGCATATCAACTGGATAGAGCTTACAGCTCCAGGTAGCGGTTTCGATAGCGACCTTTTATCTACCGTTATTCAGTGTGCACTTGTACAATGTATCACAAAACCGACACATATTGATTTGCATCATGTTCCGTCACTGCTGGACCTCGCCCTCACCCACCACTCTGAGGATGTCTTTGATATCCAGCACCTTCCTCCACTAGTGAACAGTGATCACGTTGTAATTCACTTTAAGTTTAGGACACATGGTATACAATTCGTATCTGCTCCACCCCGTCCCAATATCTGGCGAGCTAATATTCCGGAAATCAGAAACCGTGCTATCTCGACTGATTGGTCGGTCGACGCGGATGGATTGATCGAAGATGAATGGAATAAGTTTAAGGCTACATTCGAGTCCGTAACGTCGCCGTTTATCCCATGGTCAGCACGTAAGCTATCACATTGCCCTCCATGGATTAATAAGGAAACCCGGAAGCTGTTAAAGCGTAGGAAACATTTCTGGGACTTATTCTTGTTGACAGGTCATGCACCATTTAAGCGTGAGTATCAAAAATACCGTAATATCTGTAAGAAAACCATAGCGAAATCCCGTACCACTTACGAACGACAGTTAGTATATGATAGCCGTACTTGTCCGAAACGATTGTTTTCGTATGTTAAACGGCAAATGAAACGTAGTGATGGTATTCCCCCGTTGCTGTTACACGAAAATTCAGAATTACTAGCTGAATCAGATCGAGCAAAAGCTGAGACTTTTTCAGATTATTTTAGCGAAGTCTTCTCTACGTTTATTGTAACAAATACTTGTCCCACTCACACCGAGATACCAACCATTGAATCCGTACAGGTGACTGAGGAAACTGTCCTTCCGTTGATAACTAACCTCAAACCTGGTAAGATACCGGGCCCTGACGGGTTACATCCACGGTTGCTGTCATCTCTTGCGGACATTATTTCAAAACCGCTTGCGACACTCTTCAACATGTCCCTCTCACTCGCCCAACTCCCTAGAGATTGGAAGGACGCTATAGTTAGTCCTATATTTAAGGACGGTCAGCGACAGATAGTATCTAACTACCGGCCTGTCAGTCTAACTAGCATAGTCGTTAAGTTACTCGAAAAGATAATTCGGGTTAGGTTGCTAAGCCACATAGATTTACACAATCTGTTAGCTCCTGAGCAACACGGATTTCGTAACAAGCGTTCATGCTTGACTAACTTGCTTATTGCGAGGGAGGATTGGACAGCAGCCCTAGATCACGGTCTGTCTGTCGACGTGATATTCATAGATTTTAGCAAAGCGTTTGACAAGGTTTCACACGTAGGTCTTATGCAGAAGCTCACGAGCTTCGGAATAATAGGTACTGTACATGAGTGGATAGGAAATTTCTTATGTGACCGCAGACAGAGAGTTAGGGTCAATGGAACGCTATCCGATTGGAAGCCGGTCAAAAGTGGTGTACCCCAAGGCACCATCTTAGGCCCTCTGCTCTTCCTTCTCTACGTTAATGAGTTACCACTGTTACTTAGGTCGTCGACATTATTGTTTGCAGATGATGTAAAAATCTGGAGAACAATAAAAAGTGCGGCTGATCATGTGGATCTTCAAGCTGATTTAGACGATTTAGTTAGATGGGCTCGAGAGTGGGGCTTAGAAATTAATGCTAGGAAGAGTGTACTAATGCACGTCGGTCACGGTAATAGTTACCGTTACACTATTGAGGGTAAACCTCTTCCATGCGTTCAAGAGCATAAGGACTTAGGAGTAATATTAAGTCATGACTTAAAAACAACTGCGCATTGCAAAGCAGCCGCTGTCAAAGGTTTTCGTGCGTTATGGTCACTTCGCCGAGCGTTCAAATCTTTTGACGAGGAAACGTTTCGAATTTTATACCCCATATATGTTAGACCACATTTAGAGTACTGTATCCAAGCAGCTAGCCCGTGTCTAGTAAAGGATACTAACTCCCTTGAGCGTGTCCAGCGTGTGGGAACGAAATTAGTGAAGGGTCTTTCTAGTCTCCCTTACGATGAGCGCTTAAAACGCCTAAATCTTTTCCCCTTGTCGTATCGTAGGACACGAGGTGACCTTATACTGGCATTTCGTATCTTTAATTATGATTTGGGTGTTAATATGTCTTATCTTTTTGCTCCCTCCAGCACTAATAATCTCCGAGGTCATAGCAAGAAGGTTCATAAACCACGATCTAATAAACTTAAAGTGGGATCCCGTTTTTCTCATCGAGTAGTCAATCATTGGAACGCCTTACCCGAACAAGTGGTATCAGCCCCATCAGTGAATACTTTCAAGGAAAAGCTGGACCTTCACTGGAAAGCAATGTGTCAGGATTAACACAGGTTCATCAACCTACTATCCTTATTACTGAAGACTGAAGACTGAAGGCTAATTTTGTAAGCGCACTTTACGTAAAGGACGTTACTTTGCAGGTTTTGTCGTCCAATGTTGTGGTTAGTTTAGTATAATATAATTGTACTAACATTTTATGTTCGACATCAATACAAATTGCTTATTAAACAAAGTGTGTAGGCTACAGTTTACCGGTTTCCCTAAATAGCGCTGTTTGATTCCTGTGGAGATAGGCATGACAAACTTATTTTGCAAATAATATCGAAAAACATTTACAAAATAAGCTTGTCGTACATATCTCCACACTCCTAATAATCAGCTCACAGCTGCGTGATGGAAGTTTATGAACGGTCTTGGAGTACTTTATAGTTAACAAGAAGACAGTGTTTGATTGAAAAATGACTCGAAATCAAAATAGTATTGAAGTTGTAGTTGATAAAGAGATTGGGGTTCAAATGGTCCTAGATGGAATAACTTTCGCTTAGCGGGCTTCCGTAACTGGAAGTAGATATATCAGGTTTTATCTCAGACCCAGATTTTCACAATAAGGGAAAGGCCCGACGGCCTGCATTTTCCTTTTTTAGTGAACTTATTATGGGCTATTATTTCTTTGAATGACAACCTTAGTTTCGGACACAAATTTTTAAAGTGGTAGGACCTAAGAATTGATAGCTCGATATCGAAAGCTGTATGGCAGTAGTAATTTTTTCGTTCTTACCTTCCGGACTCGTCCGTTATTTCTGAGTTGTCCTAATCTTGTAGGAAAGAGAGGATATATTTGGTACAAAATCGCTTGCAGCGCGCTATGCAAAAGTGACGTTAGTTTTTTACTAAATAAATCTTATTTTTCTGTTTATACTTCCACGGTGTGGGCAACCGGAAAGTGATAACCGCCCTCATACCTCTCACAGCTCCCAAGACCACTGTATTCATAATCAACCTCCTCTTTAATTCCTATTATTCCTCCTACATCGACTTTCAACCCTAAACTTCCTCCTTCGGCTTCCTCCTCAAGTGTCACCATAGCCAACGATTCTAGTGCTCAAAACCTGTCCCAGGTCTACTGAAACCTCGCTCCAAACTACACATTGGAGCCTTCAACGTACGCACCCTATGTCAAATCGGTCAGCAGGCTTCCTTGGCTAAAACCCTAGAGTCTCTTTCCATTGATGTATGCTGTGTCTCCGAAACACGCATACAGGATTCCAGTGTGGTCATTCACTTGACCTCACCTCGGCAAAACGGAGAGCCAACGAGATACACCCTACGTGTATCTGGTGACCCGATGGCCAGTTCTCGTGGACTGGCAGGTGTAGGCATAGCACTAAGCATGAGGGCGGAACAAGCACTGCTAGAGTGGATCCCCGTCAACAGTCGTCTATGTGCTGTTCGGCTAAACGGCTCCGTAAGAACTCGGAAGGATAGGGACACACGTCGTTGCCTTTTTGTCGTTTCTGCCACTGACTGCAGCTCGGATGATGTGAAAGATGAATTTTACAGAAAGCTGTCCGAACTTCTTCAGAAAGCTAAACGCTCAGACATAGTACTCGTAGGGGGTGACTTTAATGCTCAGATAGGTAGTTTAAACCAAACAGAAAGGCATTTAGGTGGATATTTTAGCATTCCGGCACAGCGAACAGATAATGGTGATCGTCTGCTGCAACTGTGCTCAGACAATCGCTTATTTTTAGCAAACACAAATTTTAAGCATAAGGAGAGACATCGTCTAACATGGCGACCCCCTACACCAAACCAACGATGGACTCAAATAGACCATATTGCCATCAGTCATCGTTGGAGAGGGTCGGTAGAAGATTGTCGCTCATTCTGGAGTACCTGCTTGGACTCCGACCATGCCCTAATACGGGCACGCATCTGCTTGCGCCTCACTGGACGCAAAAAAGCCACATTAAAAAGACCCATTAGAACTGAGTTGAGTAACGAGAAAACCAAAAGTAGGTTCCAGGAACAACTGAGTTCACACTTAGGTAGTTCTGAAGACGAGGCTGACCCAGATGTTGCTTGGAAAGACATACAAGCAGCTGTGGAAACAGCAGTGACATCTATTAGTGACTTAAACCACAGAGTTACAAAAAACCAGTGGATTTCTTCAAGTCTTTTGCACTGATGGATTCTCGCAAACTCGTCCCATCAGGTTCTGAACATGATGAAGAGCGACAACAAATCAGATCTAGGTTAAGAAAAAGTCTAAGAAACGACCGTGAGCAGTGGTGGGCAACGAAAGCAAAAGAGATGGAAAAGGCGGCGACTATAGGGAACACAAGACAGCTTTACAGACTAATAAAAGAAACTGGAATTAATAAGTCAAGTGTAAGTGAGATTATATCGGAAAAAGGCGATACTCTCATCTGCTCCCAGTCCAGACGTTTAGAACGATGGGCGGAACATTTCAGAGAACAGTTCAGCTGGCCTTCAGCTACTCTACAACTACCCTCCATTCCCAGACAGCGTGAATGGAACATTGAAGTAGGTCCCCCAACTCTTGCTGAAGTTCAAAAGGCTATAGTTAATCTGAAACGAGGAAGGGCAGCTGGTCCAGATGGATTGGCTCCAGCAGTCTTTAAGGATGGTGGTCCAATTTTAGCGATTAGGTTGACTAATATTTTAGCTAAGATCTGGGAGTTAGACGTTATCCCATCTGACTGGTCACAATCACTTATCGTCCCAATATATAAGAAAGGGTCAAAATCATCCTGTGACAACCACAGAGGGATTAGTTTAACAAATATAGTATCTAAAATACTAGCCTCGATAATTATCAGACGCCTAACTAAGACTCGTGAACTACAAACACGAGAGAACCAAGCTGGCTTTAGACCTGGTCGTGGCTGCATCGACCACATATTCACCATTCGTCAGGTTCTAGAACACAGGCATACTTATCGGCGTCCGACAATGGTGGTCTTTCTCGACTTAAAAGCAGCATTTGACTCTGTAGACCGCGAGATTCTGTGGCAGTGTCTGTCATTGAAAGGCGTACCCCAGAAGTACATAAACCTTGTGAAGGCTCTTTACTCGAACACTACTAGTCGAGTCAGGGCTTATGGCGAACTGTCATCTACTTTTGCAACCTCAAGTGGTGTCCGTCAAGGCTGTCCACTTTCCCCATTTTTGTTTAACTTCATCATAGACCTATTGATGGAAATAACTTTCTCGTCGACTGAGTTCTCGGGTATTGATCTCCATCCAGGAGGTCCACTTATCGACTTAGAATACGCAGATGACATAGTCCTGTTTGGTGAAGACGCTGACAAAATGCAGAGTCTTCTGGTAGCACTAAGCAACAATGCCAGAATGTTTGGAATGCGCTTCTCTCCCTCTAAATGCAAGTTGTTGCTTCAGGACTGGTCTGCGTCAACACCTGAACTAAGGATAGGGAGTGAAGTAGTCGAACGCGTTGACAACTTCACTTATCTTGGAAGTCTGATCAGCCCTAATGGGTTGGTATCGGACGAAATCTCAGCACGGATTCGAAAAGCTCGTTTGGCTTTTGCCAACTTACGTCACCTGTGGCGAAGGCGAGATATCCGTCTATCAATAAAAGGACGAGTATACTGCGCGGCAGTCCGTTCTGTTTTAATTTACGGCAGCGAAACATGGCCATTAAGAGTAGAAGACACTCGTAAGCTACTAGTATTTGACCACAGATGCCTTAGAAATATTGCTGGCGTCTGCTGGGATCACCGGGTAAGTAATAGTGAGGTTAGACGCAGGGTATTAGGGAATGATGGTAAATCAGTTGATGAGGTTATGAATCTTCATCGACTGAGATGGTTGGGCCACGTGTTACGTATGCCTGAACACCGATTACCACGACGTGCAATGCTATCCGGTATTGGAGATGGTTGGAAGAAAGTTAGGGGCGGCCAAACCAAAACGTGGCATCAGTGCTTGAAGTCACTAACTTGTAGTCTGAGCCATGTTGGTAGATGCAGACTACTTGGTTGGGGTCCGCGTGACTATCGTAACCAATGGTTGGAGACTCTTGGTGACATGGCTCAGAATCGATCACAATGGCGTCGGTGTATACACTCCCTGTCTTCCCTTAAACTAAGAGATTAAAATCGCTTCATATCTTTCTTTCTACGAACCAATTCTTTCTTCTTGTATTATATCTCTATATGCAATCTTTCTCTTATATATTACCACCTTTGACATAACCACTGCTATGAATCCGGTGTTCATCTTGTTGTGCTGATGCGGTATGGCAACCTGGACCGATGCACATATGTGCCTGGTCCTACGTTGTAGCTGACTGACTGACTGAATTGAATTGTCAATTAAAGTACCATGAAAGTTCTGGTTTCTGCATAATGTCTTTTCCAGATCAGCTTTTGACTACACTCTTTTTGAGAGTGAAAAATGTTTATCGAGTGGTCTGTGATCCTGAGTGTTATTACAGGTATGAGGGCGGTTATCGCTTATCGATTGCCCACACCGTGGAAGGGTTCTTCTAGAGGTACCTAAAAAGAAATTGGATTAGAGGTGGTCTTAGTGACCTGAGAGCGTGACCGCAGTGCCCAAGGGACAGCTGCTTGAGGTCGGTCACACACGACCTTTTTATGGGTGATTTTTGTGTTAGCTCCGTACTTGTTGAGACCTTACCGCCGGAGACGGATATCCGTGGGATAAGGCGAGGTGTGCATTATTAGGGTCGACCTTTTCTAACCCCACTCTTCCTTGTGGGAAGGCAACACCGCTGTCATGCTGGTTGTCTGAAGGAAACACCTTACTGCCGTCACACCTCTGTACAGTCCTACCGCTCTTCAGCTAACCTATCTCACATAGTGGGACCTTGAGGAACGATTGTTCCAACCAATATAGTTCGACGGGTTCATCACGATAAGCAAGCCCGACCAACACGTCAAGGTAGTAGCAACGGTCGCGTTTGCAGTTGGTGGATTATACAGTTCACTTGTGAAACAGGTTTCTCGCTTTTTCTGTGTTAATTGTTCATCATTTTAGTGGTTACAGAAACACATTTTATACTAGATTTTCTGTCTATTTTTGGCGTTTACAATGCTTTATTTCTACCCGAGTCCACTTGCCAAAATAAATGGTCCAGGAAAAACCACTCGGG